TTTTTTTTTTTTTTTTTAATTTGGATTTGAATGTGTGTGGCATTTTGCAGGCTTTGAAGGAAGGTGGGGTGTTTGATTTTATAGCTGAAGAGAGCCTTATTCTGCTGTTTAAAGTAAGAGTGTTGTTTTGAATATTTGATTTTTGATTTATGGGTTTGAAGAAATTGTCTGTAGAAAACTTAGCAAAATTGATAGGACAATTTAAGGGAAATACTGAATTGGAACCTCCTCCTGAATTGAAGAAACAAAAGGAGAATAGATTTTATGCTAGTTATCAGGTTTTTTAGCCTGATTTGAAAAGTAAAAAAATGGATGAGGAAATTAATTCTTGGATTAGGAGAACAAAATTTTCTCATACCATTTGTCATAGGTTGGATGCAACAAGATTGTCTTCTATTCCTATCACTTTCCAGCCTAGGAGTATTGCAAGTGCCAAAACTAGACCTGAAACAGGTTCTCTTAATTCAAGAACTAGTCTAGTTGTTAGGCAAATTGTGCAAAATCCGAGCACGAATAAGCAGAGAGTATTATCCCCTCTTCCGAAAACAAAACTTTCCGATACGTTTAAGGAAGCACGATCTAGTCAGAGGAGGTTTTCGACTCCACATCCTCAAAGGAAAGAACATGAGAAGGGAAATGTGAGTAAATTGTTCCTCAAAGATTCCCGCGATAAGAAAGCACCTAGTTCCACGGTGAAGTTCAATGACAAATTAAAGAGCCGGAACCGGAAAGATTCAGCATGGTCAAAGTACTTTGATCATAGTGGACGTAGGGTTATGTCCGTAGAAACAGCTGATGAGTATACGATTGATCTTTCTAAGCTATTTCTTGGACTAAGATTTGCTCATGGTGCGCATAGTCAGCTTTACCATGGAATATATAGGGATGAACCTGTTGCAGTGAAAATGATAAGACTACCTGATGATGATGAAAATGGAGATTTAGCAACTCGGTTGGAGAATCAGTTTAGCAGAGAAGTTACTCTCTTGTCTCAACTCCACCATCAAAATGTTGTGAAGGTAGAAAATCGACTTCCTTGTTTGATGCATTCAATTTGAGCATATGGCACTTTGCAGTTATTCATTGCATACTGTATTTAATGGTCTTGCTTAGGCATTTTAATTGAAGTTCTTCCACGGCCACGTTTGTTATTTTGCCGGCTATTTCTATACTGTGATTTTTTTTAAAAATCGTTTTTTAATGTTTTAAATTGGTAAAATACTAGTTTGTGTACTTGTTTTCGTTTTCAAAATCATCTATGGTCCGGTCTTTAATTACCTGTTAATGCAGTTTGTAGGTGCATGCAGAAAGCCACCGGTTTTTTGTGTTGTGACTGAGTATTTATGTGAGGGTTCTTTGAGAGCATACCTTCACAAGCTTGAGCATAAGTCCCTGAACTTACAAAAATTGATTGCACTAGCCTTGGATATTGCTCGTGGAATGCAATATATTCACTCACAAGGCGTTATTCATCGGGATCTCAAGCCGGAGAATATACTTATCAATGACAAGTTCCGCCTCAAAATTGCAGATTTTGGAATTGCTTGTGAGGAAGCATATTGTGATCTTTTGGCTGATGATCCAGGTACTTATCGATGGATGGCACCTGAGATGATTAAACGAAAGTCATATGGTCGGAAGGTGGATGTTTATGGTTTTGGACTCATTTTATGGGAAATGGTCGCTGGAACCATACCTTATGAAGATATGACACCAGTACAGGCTGCTTTTGCTGTTGTCAACAAGGTATTTGTCTTTTTTCCCAAAGAATTTATGATCGCGCATGCGATTGGAAGATGATGCACACAATTGTGACCTTGCTATGGCTGACTCTTTTTGTCCCTATGACTATCCGAGTGACAAAATCATGCCCCTAAACCCCATCGTTTCCCCCAAGAAAATATTGTTTCTGTTAATACAGTCAGACCTCTCTATAACAGTCACCCTCTATAACTACATTTCACTATAACGGCCAAGTTTACTTTGGAACCGATTTTTCATGTTATGTTGTTATATGTTCTCTATAACATCATTTCTTTATAGCAACCAGCGGAACTGTTATAGAGAGGTTTGACTGTATTTTTATAATATTCTGCAAAAGAGATGTTTTTTTTTATAGTAAGTCTGCTATTAAGGAATAATATGGGTAATTCTGAAAGAATTTGTCTATGGAACATTTCAGAATATGAGACCACCTATTCCCGGGGATTGCCCTCCTGCCATGAGAGCTTTGATCGAACAATGTTGGTCTTTGCAACCAGAAAAGAGGCCCGAGTTTTGGCAGCTTGTAAAGGTATTGGAGCAGTTTGAATCTTCAGTTGCGCATGACGGGACTCTGAATCTAGTACAAAATTCAATGTTTCAATGTCGCAAGAAGGGTTTTCTTCATTGGATCCAAAAACTTGGATCCGCACATCAAAACACTTCATCTTAGCCATAAGCCTTTCTTATGAGTTCCCGGATGATCTAGCTTTCGTAGTTTCACCGGGTCCCGCTGTAATTCGAAAAGGTTTCTGTTCCTTCTGCTATGTTTTTTCTGCCTCACCATTATACTAATGCGTGATTAGGTTGTAGGTGTGCATTGAGGTGAAATGCTTCTGTAATTTTACATGATAGATAACATGGAACATGGTCACCAGATTTTGAGTGTGATTGCAGATTGCCTTTCGATGGCTAGGAGTAACTTGACTGAAATAAAATTCTCTTTATCCTTTTTAAATATTGTGTTTGATGTCTTATTTCAATGCTTTCTTTTCTTGGAGAAATTTGCTTTTGATTTCTGATGGGATTACGTGCAAACAACCTCTAGCAGAAATGCAGGGTAAGGCTGCGTACAATAGACCCTTGTGGTCCGGTCCTTCCCCAAACCCCGCGCATAGCGGGAGCTTAGTGCATCGGGCTGCCCTACCTTTTTGATGGGATCAGTGCGTTAGTGTTAGTACTGTTACATCCTATTTCAATGGTACTCTTGCAATGAGACATAAATATTGTGTTTACTATGCATTACTAACTTCTATTGAAAGTTTTCTTTTTCCTTCCACGTCTGGTTGTTTGTGGTGCTTTCGAGCTATGTTTCACTCCAGGATGTGATGAATCGACATCAAAATGGCAAACGGCGGTGTAAATAAGGGCTCTTGGGAATCATCAAACTGTTATTCCCAGCATACCGTTGATAAGCGAGAACCTATCCACACTGGTTTGTTCTCTTTCTTCTTCTTGTCTTAGTTTTTCCTTCTCTGAAAATAGGTTGCGTTCTTTATTATCTAAATACTAGAATTAATTACTCTAAACGTGCTTATAATATGACTCTACACAAATTTAACAATTACCCCTATATATCAAAATCAAACATTTAAAACAAGTACGCATCAGTCCCAAACAAGTTTGGGTCGGCTATATGAATCCTCACTAACCATGTTCCTATTTAAATCCGTCTCAAGCGAACTTACATCTAAGTTCTAACTGAATAAACTTAAAATAATATGAGGTGGAAAGATAAAAAAAGTCAAAACTAAAATTAAAATGAGAAATTCTTATATCATCCTTTTTTAAAAATAAAAATAACTTACATGTTGAAAATGCAACTATTGCTTATAATTGATATATCTTATAAATAATTTATACTCATTTCCAAATGAAATTTTTGAAACATGTTTCAAGAAGTGTTTATTCTCTTTTTCAATAAAATTTAAGTTTATATTTTTCATGTGGGACCCAAAAATGTCTATTCTCTTTCTTTAAATTTTATAAATTAATATATTGGAACTTTCTGTTTTTTAGGTTGGATTTTTCTTTTAGTTATTTCACTTTAATTATTTCTTCCTATACTTGCACCCCTGTTTTTAAAATTAAATACTTAATAGCTTTGATAATGAAAACATTAAACAAATTATATTTTGTATATTATTTTAAGTGTATTATTTTGAAATACTTGGGTGTATCTGCAATTAAGTCAAATTACAGGGGTGTTTAGTGTAATATAAACATGTCGTTGTAGCTTGTCTAATTGGCCTGAAACATGTGCTCTATGCTTCATCTGCCTATGGCGATACCAGTAGATATTTGTAACAAGTTACAACAACAACAACAAATAGTTGAATCCCACAAGTGGGGTATGGGGAGGGTAGTGTATACGCAGACCTTACCCCTACCTTGAAAAGGTAGAGGCTGTTTTCGGTAGACCCTCGGCTCAAAGAAAGATGATAAAAGAAGCAGTAGCAACAAGTTGTAACACCAGCTAGGATCCACATTTACAAATTTCTATGCTTTTGTTATAGTTAGGATCCACACATTTCCCTCTTGCTGAATGTTGTTGACCGTAAGCCTGTCAATGGTCGAAGCACATGTGTGTTTGTACACTCTTTTGTACTAATTTTGCCTCTGCTAGTATTAACTGAAAAAGTAAAACAGGTACCTCATTACTCGTCTAATAGATTTTGATGGTCTTAGATGAGCTGATTTTAGCATAGCCTATGATAATCTTTTGAATTGATAAATATCGTAGCGACCTAAATGATTTTGAGATGGATACAGAGGAACCATTTAGTCGATCTCAACTAGTTTGGCTTTGTGGTATAGTTGACTCATTTTAGATGGCTGTTAATGAGCATAGGGAAGGGAAGCCTTGGCGTAACTGGTAAAGTTGCTGCCATGTGATCAGGAGATCACGGCTTCGAACCGTTGAAACAGCCTCTTGCATAAATGCAAGGTAAGGTTGTGCACAATAGACCCTTGTGGTCCGGCCCTTCCCCAGACCTCACGCATAGCGGGAGTTTAGTGCACCGGACTACCCTGTTCCTCTGGTTTAGAGGCTGTTCCTCTGGTTTCAATATTTACAGTATGCTCTTTCAATCAGTTACAGTAGTTTGAAACACCTGATATTTGTAAATTTTCCGTTCGTTCTTTTCTTGTTGCAGATGAATGGAATTAAGCTGAGCAGTGAGGAAGCTTAGCAAAGGTTCTGTACAGTTTTAAAAGGTTAGATGATAATACATAGAATTCAGGTATAAGTTATGCTCTTATTCGCGTAGTGCTAGAACGCATTTTTGTTCCACATTCTATCCCCTATAAGATAATACATAATTTCAAGTATAAGTTATGCTAATATTAGTAACATAATGTTTGGTTTTTTTATATTGAACTTTATATAAAATCTGCAGAGTTAAGACTTTAAAATAAACGCTCTTTTAGTTATCCGAAGGTTATATTATTAGACAAAGTTTCTACTGGAAATAAAATGATGTAAAGTAATACAGAGTTTTATATCGATATTATCCTTATCCCTCGGAAAAATGTAACTTCTAAGTTTGTAAAGAAAAAACATCTAGATTCCTTTTGTTTAGGTGCATGAATCTATACACGGGAATAGTAGTACGACCTATAGGTCATAAGTTCGAGTCGTGGAAGCAGACAATAATACTTGCATTAGGCTATGTTTTCTACATTACCCCCTTGGGGTGTGGCCCTTTTCCGAACCCTGCGTGAATGCGAGATGCTTGTGCACCGGACAGTCACTCTATTTTATTTTATTTTTACAATATTTAGTAGTACAGGAGCTGGTTCTTTTGGGTATAATATTGTAGTAGTAGTTATAGTAGTTGTAGTAGTTATTGTACTATGTACCA